TAGGCCATCTATCCAAGTTGAGAGGCACATACTTGTGCCCAGCATCAGATCAAGCAACAGACAGCAGAAGCTTTTGTTAGATGATTATTTTCTGTCACGCAGTGTGTGTGGCTGCAATCAGAAATTAACAGAATTCATAGCAAAAGGGAATAATTTTTATTTTTAAACTATGAAAATGTAAGTCAGTCTTGTCTTTGGGTGGATTATCCTTGCTACCACATGGGGATCTTAAATCAGATTTTTACAAACTATGTTATTTACAATAATGTGCAGTGAACTAGACAGGTAGATGAAATATGACCCGCTTACTTTTTCTGCCTGACCGTAGCTGTCACTCTCTCCCTATGAACAAAAACCAAGCACCATTTCACCTCCATGAAACACAGCAAAACCATACTGCAGTCGAGTTTAAGTAGGCACTGATACTGTTTGTGCATTAAGTATACTCTCATGGCTTCTTTCGAACACAGAAAACATTATCTTCATTTTGCTGAGGAAAGAGCATCATGGAACTCTGACTCTACAAAAATCAATGGAAATTTTACCGCCGAAGGCAGGACATCATCCTGAAGAAGCAAGTACCAGACTCTGAAATGTATTTAGAAATCTATTATGGCATTAAATGCAGTCAGAAAGCACTGACCAAGCACAGCAGAATATATAAACTATTGTGCTTTATAAAGCTATAAAAAGAATTCCCCAAGATACTCTTCTCTGTATTCTGCCATCACTTTACATTAATACATGGTTGAGATTTCAGGCACTGGGGAACCATCCTGCTCCACGAAGCAGCTGGTAATTTAAAGACAACAAGGTCACGTCAAAGATGTGCACCAAGTATTCAGAGAGGAGGAAGAGCAGAGAAATGGTACTCTGAGCTTCATTTACCTGTAGTGCACAAGAAATAGCACATTTTAAGGAGGAGGAGCAAAAGGGTGGAGGTTTAACCCCTTCATGCCAGAGTCCTTTGCCACACAAGGTAAAAATAGTGTTGAAAATCTTTTCCTGTTATTTGGTGGAATTAATAAACTAGTAGATGCATTGATATTGCAACTGAAGAATAAATCCCATTTCTGTGTTATGCATTCCGGAATATTTGGTAACATTTTGAAGTCCTTCATACAGCTCTAGATCTACAGATCTAGGTGCAACATAATGCCTCTGTATCACGTGGGATGAAACCGAGGACTTAAAATGAAGAACGCTGGTCTTACAGTTTTGCTCACTGAATCCAACGAAAACCAGACACTTTAACATAAAGCATAAGCCATTGAAATGGGAGCTGAGGAGAATACAGCTAAGCAAGTGCTGTGTTATTCAGTCCAGCTGGTGAGAACTGGAAATGATACAGGAGGTACAAAGTTTCATTTCTGCTGGGCTCTGTAGTATTCATTTCTGACTGAAGAGAACAAGGCTAGAAAGAAGTCTTGGACAGAAATTTGGTGTCCAAGAATAGAGAGATTAATTTCATTGCTGTAAATCCTGCTGACATCAAGGCAAATATAGAGGGAGGAAGTCATGATCCCAGCCATCTGTTTATGGATAAAGAAGACAAAAGTTTTCCATCCCTTCAGATTTTGAGAAAAACAAGACAGCACTTGGTAAAGAAAAAAAAGCCAATAACCCAGAAAACTCCACTGAGCAACCCTGATTATAAAAATCAGAATCCATATCTCTTCATGTTCAAACCTTGAAGTGTGCACTATGAAATAAAACCACTCTCTCACAGTAGTGTGAAACCCAAGAGATACAGATACGTCAACAGCAGGTAATGATTAAGATACATTTTAGAGTATGCACCTCCAGAAGACCAATGCATCTGTGCTTATTATTACCAACACTAAGAAATGCTGCAGTGAAAAGCGGTGGTCTGCATCTCCATCACAAGAACAAGGTTAGACACAATAGTTTCCCTAAAACTTCTCCCAGGCATAGATAGCTGCTCTTCATTCTATTAATTATTCAAAAAGGTATTACTGCTTTGTTTGCTGTGCATGCAGGGCAGTAAGTTTGTTTTGTAATGGAAAATCTCATTTGGAACAGTATAAAATAGATGCAGCAGATTGTCTTATTTTGATGTCAGCCAGCTTTTTCTGGCTGTATGTTTCATCAGGGTCAATGGAACCACCCTCAGCCCTAAGTAGGCTATGTTGCTTCTCCCCTTCTCTCAAGGACAGAAACTGTAGTCACAAAAATACAGATTGTTTACAGTAAACATCCTAAAAAGCCATTAATTATTGTTGGCTGCCACAATATGCAAACATGCCTAATTTCTGTAGAAACTATAAAAATCTCTGCACTTCCAATCAGATGACACTGGGTTTATATTAGTACATCATGAAATCAGCAAAATGTATGAGATTCTAAGGATTAAAACATATCTGTAGTATTTCTGTCCCTTCTCCACTTTCTCCTCTAAAAGTGAAAAGTAACTCTGCTTTTTAGAGCAGAAATTATACTTCATGCACTAATGATGACAACCACATGGATTCTAAACAAAAACAATGGCTTGCACGAACAAGCACCCACTGTACTCTAATATGCTAGGGAGAAGCACTGCACTATTGCCTGGTAATACAGTCACAGTTTTCCATCTCTGGCGTTTACTCAATTTTCAGATACAAGTGTGAAAATTTAGTCCACTGAAAATCTATTAGGAGAGATTGCAACAGAACTAGCACTGAAAAAACCAGCTCCTGACATGAAAGACAATCAGAATAATGAGGTTAGAGGTACTCTCCTGACAAGGCACACATCTGGCAGTGCAAACGTGTTACAGTAGCTTATTTGCCAGTTAAGGATTTCTCCAGCATGGAGCCATCCCAGTCATGATCCATCTTCTTCCCTTCACAGTCCAAGCGCAATAGGAATGGGGAATGACAGGGTAACACCGTGTTTACTCTACATATAGCTAGTTTGACAGCCCTTAGAGTGCTCCTGCAGCCCACACAGATAGAATGGCTGCTCTACTTATTAAATTAGGCTACTTTAATTTAAATTGGTTGGGACATGGCCAAAACTCTACTAGAACCGGCATGCTGCAGTCAGGGCTCAAATGCATCTTTGTTCAACATCTTTGGTTGCATGGAAAGATGCTTGCTTCGGCTGAAGTGTGGGCTGGAGCCTAAGCATAACATCTTCAATACCTTCCTATCCATGGCTTTGTGAAGCTAAGTGGCCTAACAACGACACATTATGTTTAGTGGTCCTCAAGCCTTCCCTTTCCAATAACGCAGTGCTCCAGCAGTTCATCAGGAATCAAACAAGGTTGGACTTGTCTCAAGATTGGGAGCTTCAAGCCTGCCAACACTGGTTAATTAACCCATATTGCTCTTTACTAATATATACTGCACACAAAAGGGTAACTAGCTTTTTATATACAAGAGTAAAAACCATTTTCCATACTAAGAGATAGAGCTTTTGTGGCCCCACCACATGGGCACGGAAATTTGGCCATAAATGCAAAAGCTCCATAATCAAAATCATAATCATTTTACTAGAAATGAGTAACTAGCAATGAAGCAGGCTGCAGCTATAACACAGCTGACAGGAAGGATTGGGGATGGACTGCTTTTTGTGGAGAAAATAAACGTGAGTCAGTCTTCCCTGTCTTTTTTGATCAAGGGAAAACAAAATAGTTTATAGATTCACAAATTAAAGTCAGTTTCAGGAAGAATGCAGTCAAACTTAGTGTGAGAGCACCACAAAAGAAGTGCCATTTCCACAGTTAAGGGAAACCCTGAATCCATTCATTGCACTCTTTTTTCTACTATTTAATTTTATATCATACTCAAATTTATTCTTCATTAAATCCCACTGCTTTACTCTCTAAATACAGCCAACTTCTGAGTAAAGATTTATAGCATGCTGTTTGAAAATACACTACCTTTTTCAGCGAACAGAGACAGGAAGGAAGCAAAAAAATGTTTCCCCCTTCACCTCTCTCATCCTCCCTCCCCTTCCTTCCACCAACACGCTGGTTTCATGCTTGTTGCTCTACTTCTGGATATGATCATACGCTGGCTCAAAACATTTGCCTGGCAGGGACAAAACCCCATCAATTGTACAGATCCACGTTTCTGGCTCCTTTTTCTTCTTCTCTTCCTCACAGCATCTATCTTTCTCACCTTCCATTCTTCTTTTTTCCACTTCTTTTTCTTAACAACCATCTGGTGCATATTTCAGAAGACACAGTGCAATTAACTGAAGTGGAATCACCAGAAAAGACTTAATGCACCCTTTAATCCTTTACACTTGGAAGGTGTAAAGATGGCCAGCACGGTATAGCAGCTAGCAATGAAAAAACAAACAAACAAAAATAGGGAGCCTAAACCACATATTTCTGGAAAATGTCCTCTTTCACAACAGGAAACATCATTCTAAAGTGTAAAACACTGAGTGCATTTTACAGCTTGTATTAGTCACTTGGTCCTTTCAAAATATTTTATGAATTTGCTTGCCTTGTTTTTTTTAATTTTACATCATTTACACATACTTTCCTTCTTTAATGTATTAGTTAATCTTAAAAGTGATTTACAAAAGAAGTTGGTACTATGTTTCCTATCTGACAGGCAGGAAACTGAGCTACAGATAGGAGACAGACCAAAGGTCAAATAGCTGGCTGCTGGCAAAGATAAGGCTACTTTCCATTTCTCAAGGCTTCCAATTCAATGATGTAGTGAGTATGTCTTTCTGCTTCTCCGACTGTGGGTGAAATCAAGTTCTTTCAAGATAGTTTTTATATGAAATATTTAATAATTGCAAAAATGGTACGTTTACAAAAAATCTTGTCTAGAAGTGGCACACAACGCTACGCAAGTATATTTGTATATACACTATGTATTACTTGATGAATAAAACTCATTCGTCTCTTCTTTTAGACACAAAACAGATTTCCATATGCTTATTATGACCATACTGTATTAACACAATAAATGCAGAAGGACATTTGTTTCAGACAAATGAAGCCATCCAGGGAATCCCAACGAGATGTTACCTACCAAATTTTTGGTCAAACCTCCACGCTGGAACGTGTGCATTGTGCTTCAGGTTGCTGTTTGTTGGCAGAGGCACTGTTACATAGATGGGGCCATTCACGGGGATTGGAGTCCCGTCGCTGTTGAGGAGATGAACACTGACTGCAGTGACAGGGGTGAGGTCATACCTAGTGCTGTTTCCTGCCGAAAGAATGAATGAACATTGTGACCACAGAATTTCCCAGAATTTACACCCATGGGGTCCAACACTGCAGTACTGCACCGGCATATTTCTCAAGGGGTGGCAGCACCAATCCTCCCTGCCTTACAAAATTCACCAGACAGACATATATGCTTCTGTATTTTTTACTTAATTTTGGAAAACTGTGAAGAAAACTGCAATGAAAAAATCTCATGCATATATTTTAATTCATCTTAATATATATGAGTATCACAGCCATAATCATGGCAAAAAAAATTAATCTCACAAGCCCTTACTACAGCCTCACATGCCCATATTATAACTAACAGACACCCAAACACGCAGTGACACTACAAGGATGGTCAGTCATATGTTTAAGAATGCCAGGATGGGTTTCCTTTGGCCTTTCACTGAAATAAACCAAGTTAAAGGGATTATTAGGATACACAGTGTTAACTTCTTATCTATGAAAAGGTAATAATTACTCTTTATGTTTAAACTGCATGCCAATGGGTGTTACTTCATGACAACACGATTTAAAAAAAAAAGCATTATTTCAGCTATTTAACCAAATGAATCAATGACAGGGAAAATACCACATATACATATATATATTTTCAAGGTATATACATATATGTATTCAGGGAAAAAAAGCTTGACGTTTAAAACCAAGGACACCTGAAGCTCAAAGCAATAGCGCTAATAGTTTAAATTGGAAGAGATGGAGCTTCTAGTTTTATGGGTCCCTAGTGCTGCCAAGAGCAGCAGTCCTGCAACCTCGTTTGTGCTAATCCAGGGTTGTGCAGCTGTTTATCCTGCTGTGGGGCTAATCTGAGAGAAGAAGCAGGGGTGCCTGGTTGGCAGAGCATGGGGTACTGTCCTTCCTGCGACCCTGGTGCCTTACATCAGCATAAACCGCTTGTAAAAGCACATTCACACCAAGCAGTGGAACACTACCTGCAACACTGAGACACACAGTGTCCTCAGGAACATGCATTATCTCAGTGACTGTTCATTAGGATGAGTACATTCGAGGGAATGGAGGGAAAGCATCAAGACCTTTTTGATTTCTCCTAACAGTGAGTAAATCTCAGGGAATGGCTTTTAAAGTTGATGTCTCTGAGTAACAGCTCACCGAAGTTAAGACATCGCCAGGGAAGGGGAGAGGAAGTGGAAATGGGAAGGGAAAAAGAGACAAACTCCTCAGAATTTTTTAATTCTTTGGATTTTGCAAGAGTTGCCAAACTGAAATGAAGACCTGCGAAATAACCAGCATGTGGCTTATTTACTATAGCATCTTCTCTGATGCACATTTTCCCCAGATTCCAAAGCAAGTGTCACTGCTGCACAGCTGACACGCAAAGGGCATACATGCTGCTTTGATCTACTGTGAGTGGCAGGGCAGAAGAGTATCTTCCAGAAGGACTGAAGTGCTGAGAAAACAGGCGCTCTGAGGATGACCGTATAAGAAAGCCACAGAGCTAACAGAGAAAAACCAGAAAAAGTAAGGTTGGAAATTCAGTTTCAGGTTTGGAAAGCACAGGGGAAGGCTGACAGCCTACCCAAGCATTTGTGTATTATAGGCTCCAATGGTGCACAATATCATATCCTTACAGCCTTAGAATATAAAACAGAAATAGAGGAATTAACCGGTGGGGAAAAAGGTTGTTCCTTTATTCCCGGTTGTTCAATCCACTGCTTCTGCCATGCACCTATAACTTACGTCAGATTAATGTTTGTCCCCAGGTCACTGGACTTGAGCCGCTAAGTTTCTCAAGCTGATACCAGAGAAATAAATTTCTGTTGCTAAGTATCATAACCTGACCATTTTCTGGCATATACAAATTTCTAATGATAAAAGGTGTAACTTCAGATCTTAGAAACATTTAGATTAATACCTAAGATTAAATTATATATTTTACTTAGTTTTAGATACGTCTTGAATATCTCTTTCACTACTGTCTTGATAAAGCTTATCTGCCTAATATCTGTAAATATGAGTTTTCATTCCCAGAAAAAGCATTCTGATGCTTACTTAAGATGTACTGATGCTTTCCTCAGTGCTAGGTTGAACAAGTTATATTAGAAGATGGAAGAAATTTCCGAAATCCACTGACCTCTGACAAGAAGAAATAGTCCTTCAGTTTTCCACCTTGCACAGTATGTAAATGCTCATTAAAAAGATAATTTTTTTCTCTTTTCTATTGTGAAGGTAAATTAAAATCAATATTTATGAAATTCTCACATGCTATAAAAATGATAAGCACATGCACAGATTAAATGGGAATGGACTTCCAATAAATGTCAGCTTTCATTTCTTTCTTGTAATTTTTGACTTCTGGTGACCTGTAAAGAGCTCTAAAAATAATCAAAGGAAAATCCACTGTGATTTAGACTTGACTCTTTATAGAAAAGCCTACAAACCGTAGTGGTTTGAGAGTAATGGTTATTAGCCAGCTTTGTCCATTACTGCAGCTGATGGAAAGTTTTGTTTAGTTTGGTTAAAAGGACAAGATATTGTGAAACCAATCTGTCCAACTGGTGATTAATATAAACAATAAGCTAATACTAATAGGCTTGTCACTACTTGCAGCTGAATTCTTGGAATTTTTATGTTTGGAACATGCTGATTCATGCAATGAATTTTCACTGCTCCATATTCAACACCCAGTTGGGATTTAGTGGAAACTGTTGAACTCATAGATAATAGGTTTTAGTTAAAACAACTGTAAAGTCACTCTGGATGAATACTAGCCAGAGAACTGAGCTGACTGAAACAAATGGGAGGACCTCTCCAAAACTCTACAGACATGTAAACAGACTGTGAAAGAACAGACGAGTAATCGGGGGGGAAGAGAGGTGAGAGAGAGGGGAGAAGGGGCAGTGTTCAGGAACACTCCAAAACTTCCCATGCACGTAAATGCTAAGTTTCTTTAGAATTCTAAAAGTTTTACATATTTTTCCTTTGAGAACAGAAATATTCAAATCACCCCAGCAAGTAGTGATTTCATTTTTCATTCCTTCAAAAGCTTTTCAGGTGAAACCTTCACCGAGTCACTTGGAGATGAAGGAAAGAAAGTCAACCCAAGTTTAGGATTTTAAAGTTTCGTGTTTCCACAGGACAAGAAACTTCTAATAAAAACGGAGAACATTTCACCTATACTACAGTGCATATACAAATATATTGTCTTTGTAGTCTGTGTTATATCATCCTGAATACTAATACTACAGCACTCAGCAAACATGGCTCTTCACAGTCTCTTAAACCCCATCTGCCAGTCGTTTTGGTCTTTTGTGACATACTTTTACTTGAAGGCTAGTAGCAGTCAAATCCAGGGCCCCCATGCTCAAGTAGAAAAGGTTCTGTCATACAAGCAAACACAACACTAAAAAAACCAAGGGTGTGTTCACGTGTTTTGTAGGAGGCAAAGCAGGACAAAGATGATGCCCTGGCTATGAAGTTCTCAGGAGAATGATCATGTGAAATCTTGGCAAGACCTGTTTTCACTAAATAAATGCAAGGGTGGAAAGCTGGGTCGCTGAGTACTAAGGAAAGATTTGGGAAAGAGGAATCCCACACACATTGTGAACAGTTTGTTCAGTGGGTTTAGAGATAAAAAGAAAGGAGATGAGGAAGGAGACAGACGAATGAGATCAAGTGCATTCCTTCGTTTTAAAAAAGAGATAATGAGATATTTGATCATGTTGGAGTATGAAGAGCCAGATAAAACTGACTGAAGATGAGAATAGGGAAATAACATAGAGGGAGAATGAGAAAGGATGAGATGTACTCCCTGGAACAGACAGAAGGATTGGAGTAAGGTAGCAGACATTTCTAATCATAATAGAAAGGGAGATGTGCAGGTTTGTACAAAGGGAAGTTTATTTTGGCTCTTTTTTTTTCTTTTAGGGAAAAGATAGCAAGCTCAGCATATACACACGACCTAGCATTCAAAGTCACCTAGATCAACACATCACATGTAAACACATCCTGAGAAACAGCAAGGAGGGACCTTAAGGGGTTATTCAGCCTGCTTCAAAGCAGGCTCTGCTACGCCTATGCCATGCTCTCAAGGTGGTTGTCTAACTCTGTCCAACACCCTCAAGCAATTGAGTCTACAGCTTAAACTATTCTCACCATAGCAAGGTTTTCCTCATAAGTAGTCTGAATATCTCTTGCTGCACTGCAAGCCCACTGTTGCTTTCTACATCAATAGGAACACAGAGAAAACATTATTCTCCTTTTCACATCAGCATTTTAGGAATTTAAAGAGTTCTGTTCCCAATTCTTCTATTTTTCTCTAGCCTACACAACACCAATTATTTCAATTAAGACTATACAAGAAGTGGAAGATTAACAGGCAGTCGCAGTCATAAAAATGTATTACAGCTTTGAACTGAACAGTGGTTGTGTTTCTACTATGAATTTTCACTGTATTCCCTTTGGTGCTAGATGAATTTGCACATTTTTGGCTGAAGCTATATTCAAAAGTATTAACAAAGCCATTAAAACAACTCTTAGCTGAAACAAGAGAGTATTGAATCCTTGATATACAGGAATTTTATTTATTTTTAGGAAAAAAACAAACAAGAATTCTATGGCATCCTCGAGTTAAATTCTCTTTTGTCCCTTCACATTAATTTCCATTCTTGTATGTGCATGTGTGACACATAGCTCTAAAGTACAAGTGTAACAAATTTTTCCGATCTCCCAAGGCCAGCATCTTCATCTTTGCTATTCAGTGGATCCATTTAAGGGACAGTGGACCTTGCTCTCTTGCTTATTGGAACAGCATCTTGGTAGGGCAGTTGAACCTATCACATCACCTGAATTTTAAAGAATGTTTGCTGGCATAGGGAATGGAAAAAATTATATGGTCAAAAGTTGATCCCTGGACCAATATGAAATCACAGCAAAATCAAAGTAGTGGGTTACCTGTTCCATTTCCATCTAATCCCTGCAAATAAGGAAAACTGTCCACTTCCCAGGGTGAACTGGCTGCAGTCAGATATGCTGTCAAATCACTGTAGCTAGTGTTCTCTGGTAACTTCACAGATCTTCTCTGAAAGTGAACTTGTGGCTGAGTCCGTGCACCTAAAAAAATTAGAAGTGACTTTATATCCAAGGTGGACAGAATATGTAGGTTTTCGTATTTATGGAAGCACATTTACAGTCTTTTTCTATTATAAATTGCGATAGTTTGTGAAGGATAGAGACATCAGAGGGCTATTAGGAAAGAGGAGGGAAAACAGTATTTTAACATTTATTTTGCACTTGCCATTATTTTTCCACAAGTATTACAGAGCAAAATTGTGAAGGCACCTAATGTCAGAGGCTTTTCTGACTATGTTTTTTCCCTGGATCACCTCCAATTTAATTACATGCTTCTTTTAATGTATATAACTGAAACTAAAACTGAGTTCAGAGGTAGGGCATGTGAAAGCATAGAAAAGCATCCTGTTGTTTATATTTTGTTTCTCCTGAAATAGCAAGATAAATGTAGTTTATACTCTTTAAAGTGATTTTCTAAGAGACAATTCTACCTGTAGTCCAAATTAACTTGTGTAATTTCTGTATTTCATTTTTACAAAGCTTTGGCCATGTTAACTCTCTCTAATACTGAGATAACAATCACTTTTCATTTCAACCACTGGATAAAAAGACTTACTTGACAGAAGAGTTTCCACATTTTCCCGCATAAAGAACACATCTAAACAGAACCAGATTAGTTGGCATCTAAGATTTCTCTCTTTACCTCTGTGTTGTACAGTTTGAGTGTTTTTTTCAAGATCACTAGGTGTTAATTGAGGGGTCTTTGCTGCAACGTGATTTAAGACTGTTTTATGTCTCATTTAAATCCCAGTTTATAAAGTCAATAGTCTTTTTTCAGTGGATGCTCACTATTACCACTGTTCAGCAACACATAGCAAGACTCCATCTGCAAGTGTGTGTGTGCAATATGCAAATTAATTTTTAAATCAAAAGCTATTGCATTCTCCAGAGCTCGTTTTGAATACTCGCAGAACACTCCCCACACAGCACAAAATCAAGAGGCACGCAGGTTTTTTCTTAATTTTCATTTGATTCTGCAGTTCAAAGATGTCAACTCAAAAACAATTTTGCTTCTTTTCCCCTATTAGTCTCTGCAAGCACTTTTTAGGTTACATGTAACCTCACAGCAAGAAAGATTAAAGAGCTTGACTCACAACTCCTAAGCTTTGTAACTGCTAAATGTCACTAACCAGGAGACTGGAGCAGGAGCTCTAGCTATGAAAAAACACAAAATTCCACAAGACAAACTTTGTATTGACCAACAATAATTGCTATGTAGGCAGGCCAAAGAGCTGATCATTGTTTTGCTGTCATGTCCTCAGTAATTCTGCAAGAAAAAGCTATAAGCCAAGTTTTTTAATTTCTGAAACACGTAAGTATTTACAGCAGACTCTCAGGACTGGCAGTATCCTCAAGGGTTTAAGACAGGCATTAAACAACACTCATGTGAAACAGGAAGAAATCTCCCTTACCCAATTTCTAGGCTTAAATGGAAAACAACATAAAGGACTAAATAAATTGACTGCAATGAACTCAGGGAAGATTTCTCTCCTGAGTGCTCTGCAATACCGTAGTAGTTTGCTATACCCTGGGGACAGATCTGCTCAAGTACTTGGGAACCTCTGACTGCACTGCTAAGCAAGCTCCTACAGCCTGTAAGGATAAGCATTCACAGTAACAAAACAGAAAAAAACCCCAAACACAATAAAGAAACTGGCATTAGGATTATCACTAACAGTTCAATGCAAAATTACAGGATTTTCTGCAATCTGAATCTCTGGTTAAGATGAATTATTCAAATTGCCAAGAACCAATATTATATTTCCAAAGATCTGAACTAATTAAGAATTAAAACCAAAGTAAGGGCTGCTGAGTATCTGATGCTGTAGCTAATGTGGAGGCTCTACACTCTTCTATTAACAAAGAGCTGTTTTGTAGCCCTCCGAGAGCACTGAGCTTCCAAATTTTAACTAGATAGGGAGAACTCAGAAAGCCAATCTTAATTTCTTGAATCCTTCAGGCAGCACAAAGCTGTGGCTGAGCCCCAAACCTGGCAGGAAAACTTGAATGCAAGTTTTAAGGTGGAAGAAAAAGCTTTCTCTGTAGATTGTGCTTATACATACAATAAATCAGTGAAGAGTATTCAATTCACACTCTACATTAACAAACTCCTTGATGCTCATATGAAACCTGCCACTCACCCTGAGTCTAGCCTCAGCTGGACCTGTCCAAACCTGGCAAGAGCCTTCAAAGGGGCATAGTACTGGGACCTACCAGTGAAAGGCTTGTGAGGGAAGCAGCTGCCAAGGCTTTCGCCTTATCTCATCCCCTTGCTAGAAGATAATCCAGTGTATTCCTTTAGCAGAGGTCATAGAGGATTTGGGGGCATATGTTTAGGAATAGACTTACTGAGGGAATCAGAAGTGGTAAAATGGAGAGAAAGACCTGTACTGACCTGACTCTTTTTTTCAACAAGTCAACACTTATCACTGGGAGTGGATTATTATTGCTTCTATTGAAGATATCTGGACAGCATGCTCGGACATCTAGTCTAGGTCATGCTTTGCCTAGAAAAGCTGGACCAGAGGATCCTTGAGGTCCCTTCCAACCTGGTATTCCATGATATTTAGTTTTGACTTATAAAACCCAAACAAAGCCCAAACACATTCAAGTACAAAATTGGCATATGAGCTCTCTCCACTTGGTGAATGCAATGAGGTAAAGGACTATTAAGGACTGATCTGATCTTCTTTAAACATCCTCTTGTCAACACGATGGCCCTGCATTGAATCACACAATGATTCAAAGGCTGTCAGCTCCAGTTTGCTAGTGCACACCTGAAGATGTAACCATCTCAAAGAGTCTCTCTAGGGAACCTCTTGTCACAGTGAATACGTGACACACGGCATCACTGGCCTTTGAGCTTCAATCTATCAAAAATAACACTGAAGTTCCATCAGTTCACGCTCTGATTGCTCATATGTCAGTGGCAGATAGAGGGTACCCATACAGTTCCCATTCACTGAATGCTGAAGTTCAGCTCATCACTGGGCTGGTAATAAATAACTTAAATGACCCAGTGGCTGGCAAGCTCCATCCCTTGCAATTACTGACAGAGCAGAGCAGTGGATTGTAATGCCATCATGAAAATGAAGCTGGCTGCATAAACAGAGACAAACTTCTCGATTGCACAGTAGGTCGCTTGCTTGATTAATTATTCAAAAGGAACTGGTAACTTATTGTATCAGACAGGCCTTTCTTTCCCTTTGATTGGTGCTTCCAACACCAGTGTTCCCACTCTGTTCCTGGGTATAATGAGTTCTGTTTTGCTCTCATTTTGCACTAAGGTAACTCCTGATCAGCTCTTTTCAAGCAGTGTGAAGTTACTGGGAAATAAACTGGAGAAGTAACAGAGAAAAACTAGGTCACAAGGACCTTGGATCAACACGAGAGAGGCTCCATTCAAATTTTAGTACAATGTCTAGGCTCTTTCATTTAGGTTTCACCACAACAGAATTCCCAAGAAAAGGAGTGTGGGCTGGTCCCGTAAAATAGATTTTATTAGACAAGACTGAGGGTTCAAATCCCAACCTTCAGAGTACTTTGGGTATCACTTTCTTCCTTTATCCTCTTTCTCTGCTATACCAGCAGAACCAGTAATATTTTAATTTATATATATAGGGGACACTCTGGATCAGTTCACTGAAGGGAGCATGATTAGGTGGGAAATATTTATGAGCATCACTCGGTTGTTAAATTGTCCCTCTAGCCTTTTAACATCCCCCATTTATTTGAAGAAAGGAAGCTGTAAATATGAAAAGACTGTTCTTTTAAAGTTAACTGCATAATATTAGCACTTTTTCATAAGAATAACAGTATTTAATACACTGTGCTAGTAGAATACTGTTGGTAAATGACATCTCATGTCTTGTCAAATGGAATCCCTTGTGGTTTAACACAGTTCACTGTCCATCTAATCTACCCCATTAGGTAATGTCAGCTCTCAAACTGCAGAACGTATGTATGGCAGCTGTGCTGTTCTCAAGCTCCTTCTGAGCGTTCCACCAGCTACCTAATTTTTTTAGTGCTTTTTCAGCTCCAGCTGTATCTTACTGCTATCATTAATGAAAATCCTATTGTGTCTGGATGGTTTCTAACCATAAAAACAACAACAACAAAAAAAATATGTCAGGAAGCATAATTGCATTATATTCTCCCAGATAAAACAAGGTTCTCCTAGAATATTATGAAGGTAGTATAGTATTCCCATGATTCCCACGTTTATTAACTATCTGGTGGAGTGACGCTAATTGTTATACATGTGAATAAGACAAAGTTTATGCACAATAAGAGTGCTCACAGGAAGGATGTCCCTTGTTTTGGCTCATTAAAGGTATCTTAAAAATGTCTGTTCTTACGTTAACAGACTTAACTCAGTTATCACATCAACTGCGCTAAGTTAGGTCTGATCCCTAGGTCAGATGAACATTTTATTCTTTACTGTGCAATTCAAAAAACACAGTGTTCATCCTACTCATGCTACTGTTGCTTCAACTGCTACGTTTGGCCTTATGAAAAGGTGATTCAAACTTTACTCTTCTAATACAGTGGGTTTCATTCTGTAGTATATGGATTTGCAGACAGACTGATAAGGGGTCCACAGGAGGTACTTTAGAAAGTAAGTTTATATACAACAAGACTGATAAGAGAAATTTTTCTATGCCCTAAATTTCTAAGGCCTTCACAGTAGGAAGCAATAAACAAAACCAGATAGAATTCTTAGACAATAAGAACATCAGAAAACATTTTCTGCAAGGGTAGCTAAACAAGGTTAGATGAAAAAACATCCAAGAGATAGCAAAAGAAATTTAATCTCTAGCTCTCAGATGGCACACTGAAGTCTAAACTTGTTTATTACCAAGTAACTCAAATTTCCTCGTCACAGCAGTTAGGAATGAATTTAGCTATTAATCAACTTGGTAAAACCATCCCAAAGAGGAGCATTCCTTGGGGAACTCAGAAGAATTCCCCATGAAATACCAGTCTCACGCACGGGATAGAGTTCAGACAGTTTCAGTTTTCTGAAACTGTCAGGCTTTTTGTTTAGAGTCCCTCAAATTTCAATTCCGACTTCCAAAACCCATCATACCTTGAAATCCTGAGACTATCTGGACTACATCGTCATAGACCATGAGAGTAGCTGAGCGTTCAGGAAGAAGGCCAAGACTCAGTGAGGAGAACACTGTGGGAGAGAAGTGGTTTAAGTGGGATATATTTGAGTTCTTATAAACATAACCCAATACCACCACCACTTACTTTCTTCTACATATTTGCAAAAACAGGCCACCCAAACTATTACAATCACACTGTATACATAGCAGAAACCACATGCATTTTCTAAACCAAATAATTAAACTGCCAGTGCAATTATTATTGATCGAAACATGTTCTACACTTTGACTCCTGCAAGTCATGCATGGTAGCTGAAAGCACAGAAGAGTGCAGTGTAAAGCAGGGTTTTCGGTTATAATTCGCAGCTCCAGAGAAACACTTGTCATAACACATAAAGAGGACTGGAACAGTAACTCAGTCTGACTGCATTATTTTTCTGTGAAGCAGCTATACTTCTTACCTCAGGAAGATTTTAATGACACTTAACTTTTAAATACTTTGAGATTACATAAAAAGTCATACAGAAAGGCAAAGTACGATGAATAAGTCTGAATAATTTGCTTTAAAATACAGCACATCCCTACTGAGCCACCACCTACACTACAGCAGTGTTATATATAGCAGAACTACTGTCATTCTACCAGTGGTGAAAAAGGGGACAGGTAAATGGTATCTGCTGCAAGAAATTTGCCTGCAAGGACCTCCTTTGCCACCAGGTACTGACATTCCTTACAGGGGGATGTGTCTGTATGCACACACATCTTTGGAGAGTGAAGATCATGGTATAATTTCATGCTAAGTTCTTCAGACCCAGAAGACCAGAAGCACATATGGAATTAGCCACCAAGCACATCTGACTCCTGCACCCATGAAAACATTAAGCAGTAAACCTGCCTGCAGTCCATGCATGGCTTTCAAAGATAGAAGAAGAGAAGGAGATTAATAGAGACTAGTAATTTTTCATAACTGGGCAGCATCCTACACTTGCACCTGGAAAGTACTCATCCCATTCTGAAGAGACCACAAGCTGAGGAAGACATTTCCAGAACTGATTAACAGAACACTTCAAGCTCTTCTGATTTTCTGGAGCTTCATAAATTTCCTCTAAACTAATACTTATTACTTAATACAAGAGACTGTATAGATTTTAGCTACAAATATTGAGACTGTTTTCAGAAATATATTCTCTTCTTAAAAATTAGAAATTTTAGTATTTGGGAGAAATACAGAGGAAAGGAGAAGAAGCTTGGAGAAGCACACTGATAAGAACCGCCATCCAGAAGATGGTCTTAACATATCTGAACATTGAAAAAATAAAAAAAATCATGTTATTGCAAGTACAGCTGAGAGTTTTCTATCCAATGCCCTAGACGCGAAACAGATCTACACCTCAGGCAACATAAATAAGAAGCCTAGTGTAAGTAGCACTAAGGCCACACAATTACAGAATTTGTCTGTCTTTACTCCAATACTTAATTTGTATGAAGAAAGCTAATATAATATAATTCTGACACCCTGCGGAGCTCAATACAATATAACATGCCAACATCATCTTCCATATATGCAAGACTATAATGCATATGCAACCTCTAAAGTTCCCTTGGGCTTTTCTGCACAGTCTTTCCCCAGCATGACAAAGGCAGAAAGTCATAGTTTTTAAGGCCAGAAGGATGACTGTGACGATCTAGTCTCACTCCTGTGTAACTACAGCCTTCCCTGAATTAATTACTGCTTTGGCTCCAATATCTGAGCTTAAACTAGAAAACATGTAGAAAAGCTATCAAATTTTCTTTTAAGGTGTCCAGTGGTGATGAACACACCACAACATCAATGCTCTAGTAAATAATTATGAGCACAGCTGAACTATGTGCCTTTTTACCCATCAAAATTTATTGAGGTTAGACTTCCAGCTATTTGATCTTCTTTTTATAAAAGCCTGCTAGACAGAGGAATTTTCTCTTATCCTTTTCCTATTCTCTATGTGGGTACTGACGGATTACGATCAAATTACTCCATGAGCTTTCTCTCTGGTGAACAAAATAAATTAACCACTTCCAAGTCTTTCCCTGAAGCCATATCTTCCAATCTTTTAATCACTCCTGATATAACCCTAGAGATTTAAACATTCTTCTTGAAGCCTGGATCCAGAACTGGACACACAGCTTCCTTAGTGGTTGCACCAAGGACAAGTTCTGAAACACTATTCTCTGCTTTCTCAGTCTTTACCTTATTTTACAGCTAGGGATCGGATTATTCTGCTTTATTGAAGAGCTGAATTGGAAGGTTATTTTCAATCGCTCATCTATCATGACTCACATGTCATCTGCAGAGGTACTGCTTCCCAGATGAGCTCTCCTCTCCCAGGAATACCGTAACTATCCTCTGTTCCTGGGGTTTCATTTCACACCACAGTGAATACCATACCTTGCTTTGACCGACTGTCCTTGTTTCAGCTGGGATAGAGTTATTTTTTTCCTAGTAGCTGGTGCAGTGCTGTGTTTTGGCTTTAGTCTGAGAACAATGCTGATAACACACCCATGTTTTAGTTGTTGCTAAGTAGCGCTTACCCTGACCAAGGACTTTTCAGTCTTTCCTGCTCTGCCAGTGAGGAGGGGCACGAGAAGCTGGGAGGGAGCAGAGACAGGACACCTGACCCAAACTAGCCAAAGGGGTATTCCATACCACAGCATGTCATGCCCACTATATAACCTGGGGGGGAGTTGGCCAGGAGAGGTGGATTGCTGCTGAAGGACAAGCTTGGTATTGGTCAGCAGGTGGTGGGGGTGAGCGAGCAGTTGCATGGTAGCTGCTGGCTGGGGTTAAACACAACCATGACCCTACCAGCTTGTATGAACTGTGCTGCCTTAGCAACTTCCCACTGTTCATTGCACACACTGCTCCAAAAACATCCTCATAAATAGGCACTACCAGTCACATTTTTTTTTCTTCCCAGTTATTTACAAAAGAAAATCTATGTGCAGCTAAAAGCAGATAGATGAGCACATCTTCCATCATGAACACTTCAACAGCTCAAGTGATGTTAAATTAATGATCTGTTAATAAGTGGAGTCATGGCTCTACTGATAAATATTTCAATGGAAAAAAAATTTTAATCTTTTCCTCCTACCATTTTTCATTATGTAAATAAATAATTCTCCTGCTTAAGTGTAAAGAGCTAGTAATTATTTTGGTTAATAGAAGAAAAGTTCATTTCTGCCGAATTAAGAGAACAGAAAACCCTCGATGCTTATTCCTTAAAGCTAGCACAATAATATCATGAGTTCAGTGGCTGCACAGCTTTTCAACATAAGATTATAACTAATGCATATTGACTGTGATGGAAGAATCGTGACTGCCTGTTCCCCATCATCCAACTCAGATTAAAAATAACAACAAAAAATTCCATGGTTTTCAAGACTTCTATACTGTGCTGGTTACAAGTATAAGGGGCATTTTAATACAGGGCATTTAAATGCAAACAGTTCTTGGAAAGGTTTTTAAATACTAGGCCTCTTAGCCAATACAAAAATTAACAGCCTACGTATCTTGGGCCTGAGCATTTTTGTCATGTTCCTTTGAAGGACTAATCGGAAGAACAATCCTATTAAACCTACATGGGGTGTATCAAGTTGTAACTTGTTGTTTCTTTAATCAAGGAAAGGATTAAGTTCAAGGTAAAGAAAGCAAAAGAAAGGATTCTACTCCCAATTAAATCAACGGCAAGCTATCCACCCATTTCAATGGGGGATTATCAGAGGTGAAAGGAATCTGTTTTCTAAGGTAAGCTCACATTTCAGCCATGGAAAGAAAGGTTTTGTGGAAACTCTATACAATTACTGCTCTTTAAACTTCAATGACTTACCAAAACAACAATGCCACGTTTGATTCCTTTCCCTCAAAACCAGTATTTGAGAAAAAGCAACAAGCAAAAAACCTAACCAAACAAACTCCAGGCCATGGAGGAGTAGGTTGCATTCAAAAGACCTAGGGTGCAAGTCAGTAAGATAGGAGACACAAAGCAAGAAAAGGTTCAGGCAAGAAAAGGCTATTGCATGCTTTAATCATATATGATTGTATCTTAAGGAAGTACATGAAGCATGCTGAGGAAGCCGCACTTCATCTTATTTAAACAGAAAAACCATCAAGGAATTTTCTAAACAGTCACAGAACAATTACAGTTGGAAGGAACCTCTGGAGGTCACCTGCTTCAACCAAGCAGGGGGGTGCCCAGTTGAGTTTTGAGTATCTTTAGAGATGGAGCTTTCACAACCTTTCTGGGCAACCTTTTCCAATCTTTGACTACAGCTGCTGTAAAGAATTGTTCCCTTTTATTTATTTGAAGCTCTCCTTGCTGCAAGACATTTCAGTTGCTTCTTATTCTTTCACTATGCACCTAAAAGCCTGGCTTAGTCTTCACTATAGCTCCATTAAGTAGCTGGAAAACATGGCAGAATATAGTAAAGGAAATGTGGAAGAAGTCAGTCTATCTTATCTGAAGCACATAAATGCAGATAAGTAATCAGCATGCTGAAATGCCTAGAGCATAATTCTTGGTTTGAAGAGATTCAAGTTCCTTTCCCCATCTGAAAATACATTTGCTGCTTCACCTTGTGGCAAGTCACAGTCCCCCTGGCTACTTTGATATTAATAAATAAAATGGAGCCAAGGCATGGGATTGAACACTGTGGCTGAGGATTAGAGGAAAGGCAGATGAAAACTGGGAATGTGACCTTCACCTAACATGTTATGTCTCAAGGTCCAAAAGCCACCCGCAATCCGTTCTATTTAGCAGTACATAAATAAGTCTTCATGACTCAGATTCCCATTCTGTACAATTAATGCAGTCACCCACTTCCCATAAAATTGCAGCATTCTGATAAAAACTAACATGCAAGTATTATTGTTATAGTTTTTGCCTGAGGAAGAAACAAACCACATTAATTAAGTTAGAAAAAATCCTTACATCTGGATAACATAACTGCAGATTAAAACTGTCCTGTGAGCACGGCCAAGAATTGAAAGGCCAGGACTTCTTTTGTACACTACAGCCTATGGTGCAACTACACCTTGGGAGAAAAATGAATTTGTACATCACAGCTGCTGAAACAAAACACTTGGAAACAGAGTTCCCATAAAGAAAAAGATCTGGAACAGATTTGCATTTGTTGTGGAGCTCTAAGAACACCAACAGTTGTTTGAAAATTGATGTAGCACTGTATCGAGGACAGCCAGGAGGAGACCTAGACTCTGCACAGCCCTGATGCCACAGTTTAACTGAGGTAGAAACCTTGCTCTTTTTGAACAACACAGATGTTCTTCCTCCCACCCAGGATTGCAAGCATTAAGTCACACATCATACAAAACTGTGTAGCTTCCTTTAGATGCAAACTCTTACCTCAGAACAAAAATAAAGATCTCTTACCAGGCAATCTTACAGGTTTCCATGGTGCAGAATTTGGCACATATGCATGTTTACTAGCAGTCACTATCAGCTGATTGCCCAGCTTATACTGAAACTTGAGGAAGGCAGTGCCATCTGCTCCTGAGGTTCCAGATGCAATGGAGATCTGGTTGGTAAAAATCTCAATGAAGGCTTCAGTTACTGGCTGATGTGTGCTGGCATCGCTTACATGGACCTTCAGCGTTACTTCTGTAATGACAAACAACCACAGGAATTATTGTCCCAAAAGCTTCTGTATTCCACTTATGACCCACATGCAGCCAGGCAGCATATCACCAGGGGCAGGCAATATCCCTCTCGATGGCCAACATGTCAATCTCACAGTAGCATCATAATTCTAATCACGCACGCTATCAAACATCATGGATAATACGGCATTGCAACTCTGTCAGGTCCCTGCCTTCCTGTGCTTCTCTGCTCAGCCAGCCTTCTCCACCAGCTGTGGGGAGAGGGAAAGGCTGGAAGTCTGCTGTGCTCCCTCATCCCTTCCCCAAAACATTCCCTCTTTGTGTAGTGAACGAACAGAAGACATACGCTGTGATGGAAGCCTGAGAAGAAAGTGGGCAATTGCATGGGCTGTCTTATAGTCAGAGATTTTGAACCCCAGCAGGAGAGGTTGCCCCAGCTGGCACAGGACTTCCCCGACGATGCCTAACCAAGACAGTGAAATCTCACAGGATCAGGTCCTTGTCCTCAAAGCACAGGACAGGTAGGATGCTAGCAGTAAGGAAGAGAGGTACACTTCCCCCCCTAACTCCCAGTTCAGTGGCCCTTTTTCTGAAGGGGCAAACATGTCACAGTCCCTGTGATACCTGCTTCTCAGCCCTGACATTATCATATTACCTGTCCCCACATACAACTGGTGGCTCTGAGAAGCAAAGAAGTGATAAGGTTAAGGCAGTCTGGAGAATCATACATCTTGTAGACAGGCAGTCAGAAGCTAACACAATGGACTATGTTTTTCTTGAGTAATTTGTGATTTTTCCAGAAACTAATTACTTGTTTAAATGTTTCCAGATGTACAATATTCGTCTACTTCAGGGCACTCCTATGACTAAACCATGCATTGTGTCACCAGACTTCTGTTACATAAAGTGGAGTGGCTTGTGCAAGACAGTCCCTCTGGAAGACATTCCTCTATATCTACGATTATTTTTCTGCTCCTCCAATAGTTCCTCTGCCTCATGCTCTAAAGAAGGAGCTGTTGCCTTTCTTCAATAACTATGACTTAAATGCAATGCTGTGTTGAAAAGATGGTCCAATACCTCCACCAAGCCACCCCTTGGATTTTTTCATTTACAATTGCCTTGTTCTCCTTCATGAGTACCTCCCTTCTTCCCTCCCTCTTTTCTCTCCCACTCTCCCCTTTCTCTCATTCCCATTTTTGGAAATCCTGTTGTTCTTGCATGAAGTCCTCCACCTCAGCGTACTCCATTCCCCAAGATAACAGACGATATTTTGCAAACTCTCTTTTTGCGTCAGGGGAATTCAGCTGCTAACAAGAAAGATGCTCACACTCCACGTGCAACTCATTTCTTCACGTGCTGCCCAGAAAAGAGAGCATGACCTCCTTTTCATACAGATTTTAAAACAATGTATTGATTTCTACAGAATAGTGTTGGTGGTACAGTTCTACTACTACTGTGCGTTAGGATTTTAAGAACTTATTTCAGTGTAAGCCCTGAGCCAGCAAGACATAACAACAAGAACCACAAAGAACTTAACAAAATCTCTGTTGTGAATTTCAATAGTGAAATGACACAACTGAGTATGCTGAGAAACATACTGTAACAATATAAAAATTTAAAAGGATATCAGGATCTAATACAAAAATATCAGCACATCTGCCCTAAGGGCATTTCAGCCAGAAAGATATTGGGCCCTTTATAAGCAGAGACCTTCTGTCTTAATCGTACAGTATAGAAAATATAAGTATCAGGCAGCCCTGAACAAAAACCCCATTAGAGAAATTCATCATCATCACAGCCCTCACTTTAGAACTTGGCAATGGAGGATGCCCATTTAGAAGGGATCAGCATGAAATACGTTCTAGCTATTAAAGATTCTGGACTTGTTCCCAGTTTTGCATTTAGTAGTCAAAGAAAACAACGTATACTGAACAACAGTGTCCACATACTGAATGCCTCCTTAGAAATCTTGCCTTGACCACCAAGCAACTTGTGAAGTCTTGTGCATATGAAAGGCAGCCACATGAATCAAAGGAGGAATGCCTGTGTATTTATGTATTTACAAACTGTACCTGTATTTACAAACATGAGGGCAAAAAGCAATATAAGTTATTTTCAAAATGTGCAGGAATAACACACTTAGATCCAAAGCCAGATAGCTATGCTGTTAATGTTTCCCACTTTGAATTGCCCAGCAAAGAATGCTGAAGAACAGATGCGGTTAGGAATAATGGATCATACATTAAAGAAAAAGCAAGCGAACAGGACAAGCTGAACATTGTGGTTAGTAATTTCAACAACATGAAAGTTTAGCCTTTTCTAAACAACCACATATAAGAAGGCACTAAGGAGCTTTGAAATATTAAATACTAATCAAGGAAGAGGATAAGAAAACAACAGAAGAATCAAATCTATTTAATTCCTTATAGACATTCAAAATTCTAGAATAGGACTACTACTAAAACTGATCAAGAGACAAAGGCTGATAAAGAAAAATGTTCCTGTATACACAAATCCAGCGCTTTCTTACCAGAGAGCTAGCCATTGGTATCTCCAGTAGGAAATTCCTTTATCCTTCACCCTATAGCTATATAAGTGTTTCTGTCTACATCCTTCTCTCTTTCTGATAAGGAAGGATAAGGGTTTCCAAAATCCTCTTTCCAAACAGAAGTGACAAAGGCCATCGCCCAAGATGGAAGACTGATGTCCTGAAAGGCAACAGACTGGAACTGCGATTCTAATCCACAGTCCCTAGATCAGACACTGGGCTTTTTTTTTTTTTCCCTCCTCCTGTTTAATATTTAGACTTGTTGGGGTTTTTTTTATGTCTCAGAAGATAGAGAAAATCCTAGCAGTCTGAACAACCCAAATTCCTTTTCATGTATTCTCTTCCCTGACATATGTGTGAAATGTATACAATTTGCCTAATTCAGGGCTTTCTCCCACGCAACAGCTCCTTTTTCTTCTTATCTAATGCAGCAGTGAAGTCATGAACAGCAAACCTGCATTATCACAGTTACTTCCACAGCAACGGAATGGTTACAAGCTTTAAACTGCAGAGAAATTGTTGAAACAGTGAGCGTGACGAGAACAATCTATAACAAGAGACTACTATGAAAACTTAAAGCTATACAGTAAGTTTGAGAATTGTTAGGAGATATTCAGGGACTTCTTAACAGGAGGACTGAAAAAAGTAAAGAAGAGAGCAGAAGAAAGACAGCAAGTGATCCAAGATCACTCTGACCTCAAATTAATAGGGAGGTCTTAGACTGAAGCATTAGGTATAATAAAAGAAGTATTTAATTAGAAAAAGCTGCCTAGAAGACTCATTATTAGCTAAGGAATAGAGTCTTTAAAATATTTGGCAAACATTTTAGTCTGTACTTTCAGTAAAACAGTGGGGATAAAGCAGATACATTATTCTTGAGTTTTACAGCCTACCACAGCAAGCAGCTCACACAGAATTAAAGACACATGGACTCTGAGAAGGAAGAACATCTGCAGTAAGTGGGGAACATGACGGAGGCAGGAAACTGAAAGCACTGCAGAAGATGAACTCTGAAAACATGAACTGCTAACATGAAACATGCTTCATTCTTCCACAGATGTGTGATACTATTGTGCTTTCTAGTACTGACTACAGCAGG